GAGCATCATGGTTCGAGTGGCACTTAAGACATCCATGACGATCGATCGAGAACCGTTCAACAGAGGCCGTTTGTCCACTGAACGTCGCTGCATAGACGCGTATACGCCAAGATATCACTTCCTGTATTACATGGAACGGTCAATATGATGTAATGCGCGTCTATCCACCAAGCGGCAACATCACTATCGACATTTGTCACAATCGACAGCTACTGTACAATACTGATAGCCACCCAGCACATAATGTAACACACTAGGTATAAAATAGAAAAGAACTGATCTAACGTTATTTGAGGCAGTCAGAAGCCACATTCATCAACTTTATATGTTAAAGAGTGACGGAAAGTGATTATAGTTATTATTATTCTGCGGATTTTTATGCATTTATTCAAAATTTGAAGAAATAAGGATGCACTGAATACATATAATTCACTTACAGTAGCATACTCATTGTCTTTCAATAGGGGTAACGAACCTCTAAGTTATTTGCTTTTTGAGAAATTCGGAATTAATTATGTACTTAGGTAAAAATAAAAGTTTAAGTTAGATTAATTTTTGAAACACTTATTTGTGCAAATGTTTGGAAAACATGCATACAATATCATAAACTCTAAAATACACGAAACTTAATATCACTCTGTGAAGGATACAAATAGTTAGCTAAAAAAAGTCTGTGAAACCATGTTTCATTGATAAATGTTGACTTTAGTCCTTCCTAAGGACTCAGCACTAAGCAGTGCTAATCACTACCCTTAGCAATTAGCTTTTAACTTCAAACCGCTTATATTTCCAAGAGGAATCAAAATTTTTATTTCACTGCAACAATTTAACGGAAAATTTAACATAACGGAGGTTTTAACAGTTGACCAACTTCAAATGTAGAAATCTTTGACAAATAAGCATGCATCATTGAGCAAAATAATTGCACTAAATTAATTTTTACAATACAATGAATAGAATTTAATAATAAAATAATCTATGGGTTTATTATTACCTATGTGATAATGAACAAAATTCAGACAGTCAAGCGTTTGGTAATCCTTCGATTTTATAAATGACACAACATCTGTAATATTTAAATCCTTGATGGGTCGTAACGATAATCACCAAAATATACTTGCGCGTCGTATGTGATGAAACCTACTAGTCTTAGCACGGAAGCAGAAGGACCAGGAAAATGAAATATTAGAGTACCACGTGGTAAGAACGTAAAATAGGGCGCCATGTTTATTACACGGCCCTGTAAAGTATGTATATTAATGGTGTAGGAATGCGACCATACGGATCCGTGCATCCACAATACGGCGACAACCTGTTGCAGTAACAAGCTCCAAGTAATTTTTGCCGCAGGACGCACTAATTCTTTCCGTTCCGTGTTTCACGCTCCATGGACGTCGGTATTCACCTACTACGCTCACCTTGTTATTTACTGTGTTAACGCGCTACATCCGGATGGTCCGCGTTTCTTGCTCGTTGGCCATCGTGGTGACTTAGGATTTTTGATTAAAACGAGGCCGTAGTAATGGAAGGAAAAGGAATTTTAATAAATGTTGGTGAGAGATATGTAATTCTGAGATATCGGAATTGAATATTCTTTTATCGAACAGGTGCGATTTTAAAATATGGAAATATGGAATTTGTTAATTTTAATGGAATTTATTAAATCTTCAGCATGGTCATCTTTGCAGTTACTAGAATCGGCCTAATTAAAATCAATTTGCCTTTAATAACATTTAATACTAAGAGGTTTACGATTAAAACAGGATCGAGTTATCAGACTTAAGGAAAATTCCGATGAAAAAGTTGAGTTTAGTCTAAATATCAGATGTTGATATTTTTTTTTATTATCATTGAACTAGTTTTGTATCGTGAAATTGGTTAAAAGGAAGTAAAATTTCAATATCCTTTAGGTTAATTATAGTAATTTGAAACATCAATTGCAAGAGAATTTTAATAACCAAGATGATAATAATGATAAAACCAAATGATAAAATTTCCAATATTATCATATTCATAAAAAAAATTGTGATTGTTCAAAATCTTCGATAAGAAATAATCGCGTTGGAACTGACATGTAAAACAATTGCGTAGGCAAATAATGCTGATCTATTACTTGCAGTATTTCAAAATTCCATGCGATTTAATAAAGATGATGCGAGTTATTTAGTGCCGAAAGGGGAAATTCAATAAACTACATACCATATAAAATTCTACAACCCCTAATAACTTATGTGTTCCCTAAAATTCTCATATCACCTCAGACAAACCATACCATGTAAATTCGTAATTTTATCAAAATATAATTTTATAACCATTCAGAAAACATCCAAAAAACATCACAAAATTTATCCATTATTTTCTTTATGTTATATGTATGTAACTTCCACCCAATCGCTTATATTTTACAAAATATCAATATCAAACAGCAAGATATGCATATGTATAATGAAATTTGAATTGCCTTTTCATGATCCGCAGAGCAAAAAAGCAAATGTATCTTTTAATTCAGCAGCTACGGAATGTTGAAATGTCGCCGGCGTTGTGAAAAGCGCAACTTCATAATCTCGGGAGTATATTGTGGGATTTGTGTATATTTATGTGATGCCACCCTTACCGCACTAGATGAACTCATATTTTAAAAGAAAAATAAACAACGGGATTTAGTTCGATAATCGTACATTCCGTTTAAAACAGAATCTTTACGAATGGGACATAATGATACAGGGTTGCATATTACGTAATATAATTTAATACAATGTGACAATGAAATCGTAAAATTTAATAAAGATATATATATACTACATACAGATAGTTAATATATACAATTATGTAAGATTTGAATAAAAGTATAGATTAAATTTAAAAATGTTTACTATTACTAATAAATGTATTCACATTTTTCGTTTATTTTTATTTTTTTTTATGTATTCACATTTACTATATTACTAATATTTAATACCTTTATAGCGTAACATATCCATAAATTGTTAAAAATATTATAACTATAAATAACGAATTGTTAGTTGGTGAAACAAAAATAAATAGAAGTAAAAAAGAAATTGTCAGCAATTATATTTAATTTTCTCGATTACAGCAAAAATTCTACTACAATAATTTCGCATCTAATAATTTAGCAAAACTTATTTTCTCATTTTTAGACATAATTATATATAAATATTATATTTTTATTTTTTATTATACATATTATATTTTTATTTTTTTTTTATTACCATATTTTGCCAAATAATATTTTAACTTCTTTTTAATGTAGCTATAGGAAAAATTCGCAAACAATTTTACTATCTTGTTATGTTTACGTGTACATCTTTCAAGATAAAGCACGATCCAAATGACGTTCATCAATAGAACTACAAAAAGAATCTTCCCAAAGCTACATCGATATCCGTGCTTTTCACGTTCAACTGGGCTAATGTGCGATGCGTCCATAAAAACGGCATCGACAAGTGCTACGAGGAGAAACGACCTCGTCTCGAAAACGGACCTCGCGTTACGTTCGCGCAAATGAGTCTTGACCATTCTTACAATTGCTTTTTTATATTACATTCGTCATCAGTTCGATTACTTTTGTGCATAGTTTCCTGTACGTTGAGAATATCTCAATTAACGAGTCTTGTGAATTAAGAATAGTGTTTTTTTAAATTTTAAGTAGATTCTAAAACATACATTTCATGCAATGTATATATGTACATGAACGACGTAATATACACATGTACGTATATAACAAACGGCAAGCAATAAAGTTTATATAATAGCTTATTTAATTTCTACTTATACTGTATAATCATTTATGCTGTAAATCTATTGTATGCATTCACAAATATTCTCATTCTCTGTTATTAGAATGAAGCACATAAAATATTCTTTGAGTTCGTCTTCTATACTAAGTTTTCAAGCATCTAATGATAGATATGTCATTTATAAAAGCGTACTGCGAAGGATATAATGATTATAATGATAATCTGCAAGATTATAATGATAGATACTGTAGACCATTTAAATTCTCTTTATTACCCATCATCTTCAAAATGAGAGAGTCACTTACCTGATCGTCAATGTCATTCTTAGTACTTCAGAAAATTAACTTTAAAAAGATCAATTTATGTAATATGGATAGGAGGAAAGATGAAATGAGCAATTAAAGCTTAAAGAGATCTCAAGTTTTCTTCGAGATCTTAAATTAAAAATGTTTTACGTTTCTTGACAAAACGTTACACGATAATAATGATGTACCTTTCAATTTTATCTGGAAGATACACAGCGACCATATCACTTTGAGAACGTAGTACAGAGAGATACTATACAAGAGATACACGAAATACTCTGTTCAAGAACTCAATTCCAAATATGAAAGTCATTCTACAGTAGCAAAAAATGATGTGGAATGTAATATTTGACAGTTTAAATATCACTAAAGAATGATTTTAAAGAATAACATCTATACAAGCAATTTTTTTCAGCTGGTACACGATGTTATTTTAAGTACTTGAAATTTCTACATGTAATTTAACATTGAACATTAAAATATTAATTGTTTTCTAAGTAATTATTTTGAAAATTTTCTTTTCTGTTGATATCAAGAGGTTCAATGTACAATTGGCAAATTGTCTGACCAATGTTGATTGTTTCTACTTAAAATCATTACTTCTGTATACGAGCTATACATTTTCTAATGAAATATCAAGCAAACTATTAGTGTGTTAATAAAATCTATGATATATTCTTAGTATGCACGTTTGGCAATTTTATTTTAGTTCAAACTTTCGCCATCATATTAGAAAGTTTTGCACCGAGTGGACGTAACACATTTTGGTTTTGCTAATTTATCATATCATATCGTTTCATCAAGATATGTATTTAAAAATTCACTTCACAAGTATGTACTGCTATTGAGAAATGATCTCAACATAAATACGGACAGTTTTCAGAGTATGCCAAACAGAAAAAAAAAAAATAATAAGAAGGAAAGCATGATTACTTACAAGGACGGCATTGGTAGGCGACTTCGATGTATTTCGGCAATCCAGGACACGGATCACCCTGAAAGGTTTCTGGACTGGTGTTGAACTTGCACTGCCTCTTCTTGTGACAAACATCCACAACCGTCTGCAACAGTGAGTACTAACACGTCATTCAGACGACCCGCTCACTTTACGATAATGCTAGTATTGGTTATAATCTAAGAAAATTACAACGCAGTAATTTCAAGAAGGAACGTTTTATATAATATATTCAACAGAGTATTGTTGGTAATTTTATCAGGTAAACTGTTTATTTTAAATTCATGTACTGTTACCTTAAACTATTCTTAAATATAAAGATAAGCAACATCAAATTTAAAAAATAGCTTAACTCTTAAATGTATAGTATTCTTATTTTTTAAAAATAATTTTTCATTACTGTATTAGGCATAAATTTACCTTTCTAAAGTATTGTTTTAAATATATTTAATATTAATTAGTAGTATTAAGTATATTTATTCTAAAGTATTTATTAAATATGTAAATATCAACGTCGAAAAATTAAGACGATTTTAAATAAAAAATTCAGAAATTAATATATAATTTAGCTCGACATTATGTTAGAAGAATTCCCAGTTCTACATACATTACGTAATAATGAAATGTCACGAAATTCAGCTGAAAGTATGAATTTCAGAATCAATTTCTCTGATATCCTGTATTACTTTTACTCAGTAGAATCGTTCTGACAGTTATACGATCCTTTGATGCTCTGTACGTGTTGCTTGCAAGCAGATCATGCACTCTGACATGTATACAGTGCAGTAGTTTAGGACCACGAGAACATGTAATGTCACAGTATCAACAGAGTTCTACCCAAAATGTGTAATTTACTGCTGTGTGATTACATATTTTGCAGCGAGACACCAAATAACGCAAACACGTTCTCCCAATAAACGGGAGCACGTATGCATACGCAACCAATTTACTTGGGCGATATTAACAGCAATACGTTCCAATCTTGTATCCATTAAGTTAATGATTAATTTGTTTCTCGAATTTATTCAACTCTACTACGTAGAAAAGCATGACGAATGATATTTTACTGTATTGGAATCGCGTAACATTCGTAATAATCGTGAAAATTTCCTCTGGTTAATTATACTTATACGGTGAATTAATTTTCTGGTCGTTATATGCGATAAATTCTAACACGAAGTTAACAATAGAGCGAGCGGGTTGCAAAATGTGTAAAAATATTCTAACTGACAATTTCTGTTATTAATTGTTCTTGTTGTTATACCTTTGCGTTGGAATTGTTAATATGTCTAGAGTGAAGACTTACATCAAAAAAGGAACTTTTAGATTTTTTATGCAAACTATTCTGAAATTAAAAAATGAATATGCTTTAGACAACGTTTCATTTCAAATCCATATGCTAACCTGTTTCCTACATGTACAGCTCTAAAGTGCAGCGTTTAAGATGTAAGGAAAACTCAATGACATCTGATTCTTAGGATCTCAGCGACCTACTTTTTGCTTCTTGAAAATGCGTATGACGCTGGTAGTGATAGTAAAAATTCGCTGATTCAGCTTCTGTCATTGACCATTGCAAGCTTGATGTAGGATCAGCGAAATACAATTGATTGAAAAAAATATAAAAATATATACATATATTGATTTCAACGAAAATGTCCCCGATAACATAAAATAACAGAAAATTTTATTAATACAAAGTAGAGCGTCACTTCTATACCAGCTTGAAATTAATGTTCTCTTTTTCATTTCTAAATAAAAACGACGCATTTCTAAATAAAATAGACGCATTTCTTTTTCTATTTTATTTAAAATTAATCCTATCGGTTTTAAATATTTTCTGCAGTGGATATTGCCTTGAACTAAATCCCTTTCGCTTCCAATAGGTGCAGTATCGATCCTATATTCTACTATTGCAATGTTGTAGTCAGAAACATGAAAAAATATTCAATAATACTAGTCCGACACACGTATGAGCTTTAATCCACCACGAGCCTCTTTTTTTCGAATTTGTATATATCGGATCATAGTCGTAAAAGGATTAATCATGAAAGAAGCAACTAGTACTTTAAAAAATGTTATTTGAAAAAATCAGGTAATTTATAAAATCATATGAAATAATTGAGTAAATTATATATCTGTTCCATATGGAAAAGAAATGGAAAAATATGGAAAAGTATTTCAATCATAATGCTCATTAAAAAATAAAATAAATTTTCGTGAAAATACGAAAGTGATTAAGAGATTGGATTTAACACTACAACAATTCTCATCTTATACTACTTTTAGCACATTGTTGTTCAGTTATTTCACAAATAATGCGGTTCTTTGATACATTATTTTTAGTCATTAATCAATGATTTGCCTCATCTCTATAATTATTAATCATCTTCTTATTAATTTCCATTTTAGAAGTAAAGCAAACGTAACAACTACTCTAAAATCTTTTAATGAGGGTGTACATCAATAATTATTACTAAATATTCTCGGACAAAGACAAAATCTATCCACACATTTCAGTAATCCCAATTTCATTCATCGTGAAGATCTTCGTAAAAATCACAATGTCGTTTATAGGAATAGAAAGTCCATAAAAATTCTAAAATTCAAAATGAATTTCGAATTTCGAGATTTAGTTGAAAGGGTATGTAACTGGCGCAAAATTGAGTGGCAATCTTAATATAACTGGAACCAGCGGAGACCTTAGTTGGTCGTACAATTTTTCTCTCTTCCATCGCGCTAACTTTTTTTGCTTTACTCCGGTTGCATTCGTTTTGCCGCGGCAATTGCAATAACCGCGTCAGGCCAAAGGGGGACGCCACATTAATTTCGACTAGACATCAAAGCGCTTCTGAGACTGTATTGTGCACGACCCTGGTTCTCGATGCAACTCGACTGTTTTCCTCTTTGTACCTTTGTTAGCCTGTGCTCTCCCTTTCTACGCTGTGTCCAACCCTCTGTGCTCTCTCCTTCGTATCGTCACATGACACAGTGCAGCTCGACAAAAGCGAATTAATGGCAAAGAAGTGGAGAAAGGGCAAACGCGTCTTCGATGTCACGCCCATCGTTGATATTCTATCGCAGTTTTTTGTTTGTTAATGAAAGAACTTTGAAAAATGACGCTTGAAGCTGATTGAACGATAAGCTACGCTGCTGGATAAGTATTTCTTATAATATTTTTATATTATATTATTGATTATAATATTGATAGTTGTTAATATGAAATATTAATATTATTTATTTATTAAATTCCTATCTATATCTCTTCCTTCTCTTTAGTTATGTTCATACAAATTTGGATTTACATAAAAATTTGTAATCTAACAAATTGCATTAATAAGCAATTTCTATAAGTAATTTTTCTGAGACTTGTACAAAAGAACTATGAAAGACTTACGACAATATTATACGCTCTATCTTAAATCTACAATTAACCATTGTATCTCACATTGTATGTATAATTTTGTAAAGAACAATACGCGAACGTTCTTTTTTAAATTACCATCAAAGACAGTTACCTTCCTAATAGAACAAACGTGGCCTAGTAACCATAGGCAGGATGATATTCTACGTTTCGATCATTCGAATCTTTTTTATCACTTGTGTAGTAAAAAGTAAAATTTTAAACAGTAAAACGCTTATTTCCGTACCTCACAGCATTTGGATACCAAAAGTCCGTATTCTGTCTCACCGAAATGCGCAGGATACTAAAGACAAACAATTTTGTTGCTCTGACGGTACTCGCATTATTGCTTCACCAGTATTAATCTGAGAAATCGATTACTGTCTCCAAAATTGTGCCAAACGAAAAATTAATTAAAAAATCGCCAAGTATGAATATACCTATGTGTACCTTCGAATATCGTGATACTTTTTGGAGGCTCGTTATCTGGTTAGCATCGTTTCTGGTTTGGAAATTGATTAATTAAGTTTTTGAGATTGACAACTGTTGTTGTTCAAAAACATTGCATAAAATATCATTATTTCATCGCTGTATGGCTGTTTCTATTTGTTATCGTTATATTGTATTAAGAATATAAGAAAGACTTATGCAGCGGTTTTATTATTTTTATTTTTGAAAATTTCAGATGTGGTATTAAATTTCGGTACAGAATAAAACAATGGCGTTTTGTTGATTTGCAATTGTTATGATGGTCAGATATATAGTGAGATAGATAGAGATAGTGAATTGAAGTGTGTTTTACAAAAAGTAAACGAGAGAAATGATATAATCGGAAAGTTTTCACTGCCGGGATTTTTGGAATTTTGTTTATCCTCCTTTTAAGATTGCTTCTAAAAGATGTCGTCTCAAATTCCTGAGATCTTGCTTTCATAGAAAACTCCAAGGTAAGCATATTCGTTCCAGAAATAATTTATACGAGATAAAGGATATTGTAAAATTTGTAAATAGTGTAAAATCATGTAAAATTTATTTATATTTTTTCAAAGTGCAGACATCCACATGTTTGCCGAATATTTGAACTTTTTTTCGATAAGAATATATTACACCGTCCTTTTTTATTTCTGTTTTTAAAATTGTAAAATAGCATCGAATTTTTCACCGAGTTACGTATTATAAAACGAACTTCTTTTTTTCAGCTGACAGACCTAATAAATGCATCAAAGGTAATATTTTATTTTAAAAATATCTTCAAAAAAATTAACGATGATTTGATTTAAATAAATAAATATATATTTATATATTCATTTATTTATCGCAATGGACAAGACCAAGAATCTTAGAAACAGTAAATTTTAATATCTTATCATCGGAATTAACTAACTATTAAAGATTACATTTTCGCTTATCTTTTGAAATATATATAAGATTACTGTTAATATATGTGAAATACTTGAAACTAATAAACATGCACTAGAGGAGTGCAATCGTATTGCATCGTGTAGTACTGCCGCTGTAGGCTTTTTGTTATATCTTGTTCTAGAATCGATACTAGATCAAAATTTATAATAAGTTTGTAATACAAATAGGACCTAATAAGAGAAGTTAATTTTATCAAATTCAGTAATAGGAATTGATAATTTGCAAGAGTAAAAATGTTATAATTTGTAGGAAATGAAAAATCGTCATCCGACCAATTATTCGATTAATAGATTTTTCGGTCT